AAAATTATATAAATAAATAACTAGGTACACACACGTTTTAATAGAGACTTTGTGTAAATTAACCAAACTGTACGATGATAAACATGACATAATTTAATCATATGTCTTCTATCTGTCCCCTTTTGCCTGCCTTTCAACTAATATTAATACAGTACTCCTTTAAGAAAGGTTGCACAGTAGTATTGATGAATATTTAATTTTCCCTATATTATCTTGTCAAATATATCATATATTTGACAAGATAATATATTATATATCCATACACTTATCAATGGTAATCGTAATCCTCAGGGTGGCATGCTGGCTATCCAAAACATAATACTGGGATAATTAGCATTACAAATATATAATTTAATTAAATATATTTTCCAAACTATCCCACTTTTGTGAGCAAATTTCATAATTATAACCTGTATACACCAGTTACAGTATATACAGTATTTATACCGTCCATCATTTTATCATCGATTCTAAGATTAAATCTGTCAGGAGAATGTCATATGATATATACAGCTTATATCAAATTATATTTGCACAGACAAAGCATATAAACACTCAACTATGGTAGGCGAGCAAACGCAGGTAATCATAGGCGTACGGGGCCGCTAAATTCTGGGGGGCGGTAGCTTTTTTTCCCAAAAAATTCCACATTGCCGGAAAAATTATTTTGGCGAAAAATTTCGGTCAGTGTACCATTTTAGGGGTCAAAAAAATTTTCCGGACAACCAATATTTTTCGGAACATAACACAAATTTTCCCAAAATCACAAAATTTGCCAAAAAAATTACTTAATTTTAGACAAAATTTACAGAATTTGTCCCATTTTTTTTAATTGCAAACCAAAATTGCCCGACTGTTGATCGAATATTGCCCGACTGCCCAAAAAACTGGGAAATTGCCCCGCCCCCCCCCGCCCCGTACGCCTATGCAGGTAATCATCTTTGTTTGCAAAATATCCAGCTAGTGTATAGTAATTGCCCAATAACTCAGGCAATGCAAAGAAAGACCCCGTCACAAGGCATGTCAGCTCATTTCCATATAAAATGAAAATGAAATAGGAGATACCACTGGAAGTTGCAACTTGAAACAATTACCTTTCATGTAAACTCCCCCTTAGTCTTCTAACCAATGTTGCATTAATTACTATTAGAAATCTGATTAACTTGCAATTATGCTCTGTAATTACATACAGAGACTGATGCAAGTCTTGATCCATTCAGAGTTACTTTCCACCCACACTATAGTTTTATTTTTGGTATCCAATCAAAATGTGCCAGAAGAAATGTCAATTTCACATAATAACAACAAGCTAAATATAGTTACAATCACTAAATATATCATTATTTAATTATAGCATTAACCAATTATCAAAACAATACATTAAATATGCATGAATACTCATGCCAGAAATAGCCAATCAGAGTTACAACAATAAAGGCAGTTGTAGGATACAAACATAATAACATGTGTATCAGGTCTTCATTTTTATTTGCCCGCCAGCTGTGAGAAAAATGAAGGTCTGGGCACAGGATATAATCCCATGTAAACAGAGATGAAATTTGCCTCAGTAAAGCAAGCTGTCAAGTTTGTATTGGGGCTAGTTTGGCTCCAGACAAGCAAACCTCTGTAAAATGTCAAACTCTACCATTTACTACCATTTGTAAAAATATAGAGAAATTTAACTTACTTAATTAGAGCCCTCAGTTCGATCGAGTTTCACATCGTGGGCATATAAGATCCCTTCCATTCTTCCACTTGGTAGTAATTGGTTCGACTGTAAATTATATGTTCTCCGAGGGATTTCTTTCGAGGGATTTCTCTTCGCATTTGCATATAGTGTTTGCATATCCAAATTGATCAAATATCCTTGCCGCCATGTCTTGAATCGAATGCCTCGTTACGTCACAGTAGATTTGATTTTGCAATTTGCATCAGTGCACTGATGCGAGCGCCCGCAATCTGCATGCGATGCATCGCTCAGCGGCCAAATCTAACGTGACGTAGGGCTCTAAAACAATAGATTTGATGATGTCACGTTAGATTTCACGCGGAAAAGGACTCGGGACCGATGCATTCACTGATGCAAAATGGATGCCAATCGAATCTAACGTGACGTAGGTGATGCATTTTGCTTCAACTGTGACGTGAAGATGCAGTAAAAAAATAACATATTTTGTCGCGAAAATATTGACGCTTAAGTGTCGCAAAACAACAGAAAGTACACATTTGCGATCGCAATTTGCAACGTCGTATGTTGGACTTATTTTGACAATTTCGACTGTTATTGAAACTATTTAAATTGGATTTCATCCTAAATAGTGTATTCCTGACATGGAGTCGATTTTAAGCAAAGATTCGCGGGTTGATAGGAGATATTTTATTACTGTGTGCTTTGACTATTGGCGAATTATATATCTATATATTTCAAGCAACATGAATCATGATTTCTCAATTTTGACCGATGCATTCGCATCGCTGGCATCGGTCTGGATCCGCCCCTGCATGGTGGGTAATATAGCCATTATCATGCAGTCGATCCGTTGCTCGTTGGATAACCTTTGAAATGAGAACTGAAATGCACTCGAATCCATTTTCAACTTTCACATTTCTCACATCCCACTGCCTGGTGCTTCTGTTGTTGGAAAGGCTCATGACTTTGTAGTTTGTACAGGTGACTCAACATGAGAAAGGGTTTTGTCATCTGACCTTTATTTTTAATGTTGTAGATGTTTGGGGTTCTGAAGGCAGGAAATATGAAATATTATACAGCACTAATACCTGTGGTCAATGCTGTAAATTATATACAGTAAATATAACCAATACTTGATATAATTTTTCTTTGTCTACTGAATATTAATATTACTCCTATTAGAAAGCACATCCTATATAAAAGTGAATGTCATCTTCATACATTGGCTGATGTTAGCTTGTTATTCAAACCATATGAGACTCATTGTGTTCTACTTCCGTTGTCAAGACAGGTCTCAGTTGCCACCATAATCGATGTGCTTGAATTTCGTCGCTGTTTGGCAGTATTTTTGCAGACATTGATTCGCCTAAATACCCAAGCAAAATAAGTTGCAGATTAGTTTCGTTTACTCTTCAAAATATATTGAAAATCATATTGTAAACCCACCTGCGGCGAAATTCCAATGACAACAGATGTGCAGCAAAGTTAGTGTCACTTGAATGTTCATATCCAGCCATTATTTTGGCCTCTTGCCACGTACTTTAATAGATCCTTCTGTGCTCTTTCTCCAATAAATTTCAGTACTCGTTTCGGCTCGAAAACACCTTTTTTCGACCAGCATTTTTCCTTGAATCCCCCTGCATGACGCCCTGAGCAGACGCCATATTGAAATTCGATACACTTGAAAAAGTTGGGTGAACTTTTTCAAGTTGATCTATGCGCAAAACGGATGCGCAGCGGGTGACCTTGCCACTTTAACTTAAGACATCTTCAGAGCAATGACATACAAAGCGGAAAACACGGAAATATGAATAAATTACAACTATTTACAAGATATTATATTGCAAAATTAGAAAGAGGAATGGATCAGAGTAGAAGTAGAGGGACCGAGCTGCCCTGTAAGTTGAGAGAGGGTTTGAGTTTGTTAATGAGAAGACTTTCTCGAATGAGGAGTTCGTCTGAAGAAGAGCAACAAGAAACATTCTTAAAATCATTAAGAGAGGCGGAGTGACCAGTGCTATCAAGATGGGAAAGGATACTAGACATGGTCGGGTTGGTGTAGAGGAGAAACACTCAAATGTTCAGAAACTCGTGTGTGCAAGTGATGGACCGTTTGGCCCAAATACGTTGCGGAACAGCAACGAAACGTGAAGAAATACACAACACAAGATCTTAAAGCGTTAGGAATTTTGTCTTTAAAGGTGAAGAGTTGAGACAAACGTAAAGTTGGACGAAAAACGAATCTAATATTAAGATGGGGACGGGCCGAGGAACAAAGACGGGAGATTTGGGTGCGAATTTGGAGAGAGTGAGCGCCAGTATATGGAAGAGAGAAATATAGAACTTTCTTAGGAGCAGAATGAACAGCTGGTTTGGGTTGAGACACATTTCTAAAAATGTTCGTACGCAGCGATCAAAAAGACGAGTTGGATAAAAATTCTTATTAAGAATCTGGCGGTATAGTTCTAACTGAGCATGAAAGTTCTCATAATTGGAGCAAAGACTAAAGAAACGATGAATAAGAGAAGAAACTAAGCTACCTTTATATTGAAAAGGAATAAAGCTACGGAAGTTGGTAAACAGACCTGTGAAGGTGGGCTTTCGATAAACAGAAATTTCGAAAACACCATTCTTCCGAGAAATGCTGATATCAAGAAAGGGAAGTGTGGAACTAGATTCAACTTCACTAGTGAATTTAATATTAGGATGCTGGCGATTTAAATAAGAGAGAAATTGAGGTATATGATCAGCAGACTTTGTTTAATAGTGTTCTTAATAAATTCTCGATTTTCTAAAGTAGAAGGGAGGCGCTCAGTCCCCCCCTTGCTTGAAGATGGGGGGCTCCGTCCCCAAGCTACCCACTTCCACAGCACTGCTCCCCGGCCCTCCCAATGTGTATGGCCCTGAATTCATATTAATTAATTCATGTTATATTAATTCAAATTATATAAATTCAAATGGCATAATGATTGAATTAAATCTGATGCAGATCAGAAAATTACAAAGAAAATAATAAAAGTGTCAGACGTCCTTCACTATTTTTACTACATTATGGTACAACCTATTACTTGCAATGCTCCATATTTTATTATTTAATCATGAGGTGTTAGGCAGAGGAAAATACTGTGTAGGTCACATTTAGGCACACTGCCAGCTATTGGGTTAATGAGAGACATTTGCAGATGTTAACTCATTTACTGGCAATACAAGTAAAATCATCTGGCATTAGACAGAGTAAATTCTAAATATGGGTATATTGCCAGCTAATAGGTTAAATCATAAAGCATGCATTTTACTTGCATTTGCTTTGTTATATAGTATCAATAGCAGTTTCTACAGCATTGGGATAACTCGATGGTTCAATTGAAATGCTATCTTGAAAAGAAAATGAATCAATATGCCATTCTGTTTCATCTAATAGACTTAAGAATGATGGATCTTCAATGATTTGTTCCCAATTAGCAATCTCTTGTTCATCAGAATCTTCATCATCTGACTGCCCGTCACATGTGTCATAAATGTGCTCAATGCATGGAAAATTGATTGAGATTGAAAAATTTCTAATACAAAGAATGCATGCTTCTTCTGCCAAATATCAGCATATTTCATTACATCTTCAACATTGAAAATAAGGTGGGCATATGCGAGTGTATCTAAAAGTCGAGGATCGAGAGTCGAGAGTATAGGTCGAGAGTCGAGAGTAAAAGTCGAGAGTCGAGAGTAAAAAGTCGAGAGTCGGGAGTAAAAAGTCGAGAGTCGATCGAGAGTAAAAAGTCGAGAGTCGGCAAATGCCATCAGAAACAACAAAGTCAAAATATTTTTAACCACGTTTACATAGCCATTCCGTAACAAGTCCCAACGGCTGAAATACGAACTTTCCAATAAACATTGCTACAACAGTCAATAATAAAAACGTGATAACAAAAACAAAAAAGATTGGATAAGAAAATAATATCGCATTTGATGCCTCAATCTTGCTAAATGTTTTCACATGTCATTTCATTCTAACTGACACATAAACTCCGCTGAATTTTGACAGCCATCTCCAGGCTTGTAACTAAAATGTCACTTATAATATTAACGTACGTTTATATCAAACGAGAGCGTATTAAGAAATCCACGTTGATCACAATCTAACGATTCATACAATTGTGAATTCATAAATACGAGCCAGTAAAAATAGGATTCTTTTGTCGTATGTGTGACTCTATCGGGTGGTAATATGTCTCGCACGTGATTGTAAAGTCCTAGTATTTATATGTAGCTTCACATATAAGTAATTTTTCGCGGAAATAGGTGCATGCAAAAGTGGGAAGGATGGACAGTAATATATAAGGAAGCGATAAAACTAGTTATTAGATAATAGTTATTATTGAATGTTGTGGCTAAATTTTTGCGAAAGTTTTTGTTTTATATTATACTGGATTATTCCTTTGATTGTATATGCCTCTTGTTTACTTTAATTTCGAGAATTTGAGCATACTAATTATGTTTCGCAAATATTGTTTGCTTTATGTTCCGATACACAGGAAATGAAATGAGTTCAGCCGTCATAGGCGTACGGGCGGGAAGAAATTTACCCGATCGACTTTTACCCACTGAATAAAATTTTCCGTGTAACTAAATTTCCAAAATTGTCGTTGGGAAGTAGACAAAAATATTTTCCTATTTGTCGATTCCTCGTTACTTTTACATATTTCTGGTATTTTCAAATACCATATTGCATGTACTGTTTTCTTTTTAAATTTATTTCCCTCAACTTTTGCCCGAATTTATACGTTTATAATTTGCATGATTTTATTTTGACTGGGAGGCGGGACTGCCTCCCCCCCCCCTCGCCCGTACGGCTATAATCAGCCGTTGTTACAGTTATCGGTTATATATTGTGTTAAAAACATTTTGACCCTCCAATGTGTTGTTTCTGATGACATTTGCCGACTCTCGACTTTTTACTCTCGATCGACTCTCGACTTTTTACTCAAGACTCTCGACTTTTTACTCTCGACTCTCGACTTTTACTCTCGAATCTCGACTTTTACTCTCGACTCTCGACCTTTACTCTCGACTCTCGACCCTCGACTTTGAGATACACTCGGCATATGCTATCACTTGATCTATTACATCCACTCCAAACTCCATCAAACTGTTTGGGTATGACACAGCTATAACCTTTTGCTTCTCACCAGATATATAGTCCAGCGGAAAAGTAAAAAGTCGTGCACTTTCTGAAGAAAGCACCCAATTCACAGGAAGTGTAGACTTTAACATGATAATGAATTTTAGATATGGAGGCATAACCAAAATTGATGCTGACGGCTTAAAATTTAGGATTTCTTATATTCTCTTCTTAAACTCTATTATTGTTTAAAATTGTGAAATTGCAGTTTCACATATAGAAAAAATGACTTGCATGATTAGAAAGCTTACAAAAAACTACATATAAGACTTTTAAACGGCTGATTGATTTTCCAAGCGGTCTTCCAGTTATTGCTATTTAAAAACGTGATAAATAGGCAAAAATCCCGCCAAAGTCCTGAACACTAGCCTTAAAATATATTTTCAACCGCTCATAACTCCAGAGGAGTTGGAAAATCAAAGTAACTGCTCAAATGTCTAATATGCAGTTTTTTGTAAGCTTTCTAGTGTCACATGTCATTTTTGCTATATGTGAAACTGCAATTTCACAATTTTTAATTGTATAAGAGATTAATAAGAGAATATAAGAAATCCTAAATTTTAAGCCGTCAACATCAATTTTGGTGATGCCTCCATATCTAAGATTCATTATCATGTTAAAGTCTACACTTTCTGTGAATTTGGTGCTTTCTTCCCAAAGTACATGATTTTCTCAAATATCTGTGCATATCCGCTGGACTAATATATTCTTCATGAGGAGTTTTTTCATCAACATATTTAGCGCTTCTCTTAACTCCTCCTTCTCAGTATCGTACACATTTCGTATCTTGTCAGGTTTTTCCTGCAAATTATAGACTGGAAGGAAAACATCAGATCTGCACAAGCCATTATTGCAAGCACAATTTGTTGCACAAATATCACAACTCAAATGTCCCTTTAGTATTTTAGTACCAACTGGAGTGCTAAAATGATGAAGTAATTGCCGACGCCGACACATAGTTGAATGTACATACTCCTTCATGTCAATATCTGCTGTACGAATTGTAATGCTGTTGTACAACAAAACTGCTTTGCTTTGATCGCCATTCCTTCCACAACGACCACTCTCTTGCATGTAAGCCTCAACTGATTTGGAAGGTCCAAAGTGAATCACCCTTTGCACCTTTTTGCAATTTACTCCCATCCCATATGCTATTGTTGCTATGAGTACTCTCAGGTGACCTTCACTCTTAGAATATTCATCCAAAATATGATTCTTAACAGTTTCAGGAGTAGATTAGTGCATCATATCACATAGCCTCGTTCTCGGGTCATTAGATTCATTGCAAAACAGATCTGTGCCCAAAGAATTCCTAAATATGTTAAATAATAAAGCACACTGCTTGATTGTCTTACAATATATTATTGTTCTTGTTGTCTCTCTTCCATGTTGCTTAAGTTCATCAACCAGAAACTTGAAATGATCTGCAATATTGATGCCATTATCCATTTTTTGAACAACAAAGCAAATATTCGGTCGGTCAGGATTATCTATAATTTCAACTGGTTCTTTCAGTTCCAACATATCAAAAATCTGTTGTTTAGTATGTTTTGTAGCAGTAGCAGTTAATGCCAAGAACGTCACTCCCTTTTGAACTAAAGATCTCAACTCATTGAGACGAGAATACCAGATACGAAAAATAGTTTTCTTTTTGTTGTTTGATGAAGTACCCCATTCGACAATACAATGGGCTTCATCTACAACTATACCAACTAACCTTTCCTGATAAGGCTTTTTCTCCAACATACATCGCCAACGTTCATTCGAAAGGATTGATTCAGAGGATATGAATACATACATAAAATCACCATTGTCTATACCCTTTTCTGCTTCTTCACATCCTACATAAGCTGCTTTAAAACCTATATTGTTTAAACGGTTGACCTGATCTTTCATAAGAGCAACTAATGGGCATATAATGATGATGATAGGATCTTGCTTCCACACTACAGAGTCTATATATCGCGAGGACATCAACATTTCCACCAAAGGTGCAATTTGGAACACAAGAGATTTACCTAAATCAAAACAACATTCCAAACGTTAAATTACAATTTAATATAAAAATATCTTCTATATACCAAATCAAAAAACACTTAAATCTTTAGGGTAAACAGATATTTTAAGACGTTCTCTGATCGTATATTTTCAACACAAGTTTTTCACTGCTAGTCTGCAGACATCATGAAAAAGTTGTATTAATACTTTATTACTTTATATATAAATTAAATGCTATTCATATATATTTTGGAAATGTAAATCAATATTTACCTGAACCAGTAGGCATATTTACGAACACGTCTTTTCCTTGGATAAAATTAATCAACGCATTGTGTTGGAATTCCGTGAGAGCTTTGACATTAAATTTGGGGCAAATCTCTCAAACTTTTGCTAAATTTATCCATATCTATATTCTTTACATATCCGGCCATCTTGAATTTCAAAATCGATTTGCATGTGTTGGCATAATTTATATCAAATTATAGAATAAACCAATCATAACGCGCGACCAAAATCCGGTCGCGCCAACGTCATCAGTATGGAATGTTGTCACTCGAATTACAGACTCTTCTTTGTGCGACGTTATATTAATAGGAGCAGCAAAGTAGAGGCTGTTTTCGCAGGCTAAGCCCCTTGCGGATCCGGTTACTATAGCTCACGAAGCCGAATTTTGCTTCAAGATAACCCAACCGTGCATGACTGGAGTAGACCACTTACCGTCAAACCGTCATTGATTCGAGGAAATAAAAAGTTCCCGATGCTGTAAGCCGTGAGATGATTGGTTGATCTGCTGTGAGGTTGTAAAACATGAGGATGAGCGCCAATCACAGCTGAAACTCCGAGTGAATGAAGATATTTGGCTGTTCTCAGTTGCCTTCTGTTAGGATGGAATTTATATTCCGCGCCCCAGTGCATATAAACTATAACCACATCAACGCCTTTACGCTTAGAATGAAAAATTAATAAAATATTGCAAACAACAAAAAAAAAACATATCAATTGTGAATAAAGTAATAATAATGGTTGGAAAAAGGCAGAGCGTAGCAGGCGTTTAGTGCGAGAGTCGAGGGCGTCGTTGAGGAAAAGCCTGCACAAATGGCTATGACTGTAATGTGTTTTTGACCGAAAAAGCGCCGGCTTAATTCACATTGGTCAATCCCGTTGACGGAAGAAATTACGTAACTCAAATGTCAACATTATTTTTCCTATTTTAGACAACGCCGAGTTTTTTGTCCTTTAAAAGGCTCCTGAACCACGGTTGTTCAACGTATTCTGTCGTAGCAAATAACAGTTGAACATGTTTTGAAGTGTTATTCTTAAAATCATCCTCCAACTTCATAGCTGGAATGTCAATTGATGTATAATGGATGAACATGTAAATGTGCTAATTTCAAAACGTCAGTGACCCTTGATGGGCGAAAACATATTTGTCATGGGCAGGCGTTTCCTCAACGACGCCCTCTCGTCTCCCGCCCACACTAAACGCCTGCTATGCAGGCTACTTTTTTTAGGATTTCCTCTGTTTTAGTACTATACTTGTTAAAATTCCATTTTATAATTAACAAATATAAAATATTTTCCGTTGATATACAGTTATGCCAACACGAGTGGAAATTGGGAAAACGAGAAATTGCGTGGAAACACGACGCCCGAAGGGCAGAGTGTTTTCACACAATTTCGAGTTTTCCCAACTTCCACGAGTGTTGATATAACTATATATCAATACAGAAAAAATGTTTTATATTTGTTTTATAATATAGCAATGTCAAAAGCCCGAAGAATAAGAACAATTTCCGTGTTACAAGTGGCGGAAAATTTCCCGTGTTGATATGGAGTCATATCAACACGGCTCTTAGCCAATCAGAGTTCAGAATTTACAAATGCTATATTATAATCAAATATTGTCTCCCATGAAACATAGTATGCATCGTTTGATAGCTTATGAACTGTGTGTTAATATCATATGCGCCCGTGTCGTTCAAAATCCAGGACAAATGAATCTGCATGAGTTATGAAAAAAAAATAAAATTGGAAATAAACGCAAAATTGCAAATTTCAGAATTTGCTCAATATCACAGTGGTAAGCTTTCATTGCAATAGGCTGAAAGGAAATCCTTTTAAATTGGGAACACAAACCACTTGTATGGTTAAAAAATTATCATATACCGCTTACATTTGGCCGCAAACCAAACAAATTTACGCTTCTAAATTTTCACGACATGTGGAATTAATTGCTTGAGCATGAATCCCATAGAGTATACATAACTTGGATCGTTTGGCCATATAGCAATGCTCCAAAGGATTCTGGCACACCAGGTTATAAAGGCCGATTTAAACTACACAATTTTTGCCTACAAAACCGTTCCAAGGAATACTATGTAATCCAAGTACACAAACCGCTGTCGTAGCATTTAGTATACATGTACAAGAAGATTCTAACAACAAGAACCAACTGGGCTATATACAATAAACCTTCTGCGTAAAAGACCTCGTTATTTTTTAGAAATCTTGCGCGGATCTTCAAATGTATGCCAGCCCTGAAAGTAATGGCAGCAGTCCGCTACCAACGGCCAGTTTGAGTAAAAGAAGTGGTGGCATGCGATGTGTGTTTATTTAAAGTGCTACTGCAGCGAATTTTTCGACCCTCATTTTTTTAGTTTAATTAAAAGCACTTTCCTTCCTGACCTGTTTACCACAAACAGAATTGAAATTGGTCAATTCAAACCGATTTTATAGCCTTCCAAAGTGGCCATTTTTGGCACTTCCTGTGCGAACTTTTTATCGGCCATGTTGATGCCTGGTGACGTCATAAGATGAACACGATTTCATCATGGCGTATTAAAATTATAGTAAAACCAACAAACGTGGAGACGAAGGCCGTGTTTCTGGCAGTTCTAACTTAGATTATTGCACGAACTCTGAACAGCCTGAAGGAATACCCATGCATCCATTTCCCAACAAAGAAACAGATCCACAGAGTGAAAGAAAATCAGTGAATTTTATCCGTAAACATTGACCGCGGGTTTTCACGCATCTGCGAACCTAGTGTTTTGATTGACCCCGTTTTGAAGATTCGTGCCACATCTTATTTTCATTGACAAAACCTCGTAAAATGGAAAGAATACTGAAGGAAGAAACTGTTTATACAATTTACATGGCTAGAATTGTTCCCCTGGCTAAAGTACAACTAACAGACGCAAGGCAAATAATTCAGGCATATTGTGAAGTACAAATTAATATGTTCGCACACATGGTGAATATTTTGCGCAAATGATGCTATATAGTTACTCTAAGGTGTTTAACATTTCTTATATTTTAGAACATTTGTGGTTGTAAAAAGACTATCTCCTGTTAAGTTAGTTTCTTGTCCAAAGCATCTTGAGATTGAAATAAAGATAACAATTCAGCATGCCTTGACCTAGTTTCGTCAAGACTTCTGATGACATTTTGAGAGAAACGATGCCATTGGAGTTATATTCAGTCATATCAATAATATAATACATATAATACATATTGCATAGTATAAAGTAACAATAAATATAATAATACAATAGTATAATATTGTACTGGTACGCTATTATGTGAGAAATATATTTGTGGCTTTGAAGATTAATATAATTTCAAAATATTACAGTATATGTATATGTGATATTGCACAGTGGCACCATTTTGACTCAATGGTACGTTAACTGTCTCAGTCACAATCTGCCTAATCCAACTGAAGTCGATCGCTTTTCTGCTCAAACGTAAGGCAACTGTGTCTTTGTTGTTGGAAATTATTTTCTTCTGTTTTCCCATCCAAGTAGATCTATATAATTTACTACAAATACGACCTTCATATCTTCGTTTCCGTTCATCTTATGACGTCACACGGCATCAATATGGCGACGGAAAAGTTCGCACGCGATAACCAACTTCAGAGGTTAAATTTGGCAACTTCTAAGCATCGCATGATGGTCAAATATATATCAAAATGCTTCTAAAAGACTGAATTTTTATTTAAGCTAAAAAAAACTAGGTCCAAAAATTCGCTGCAGTAGCACTTTAATAAACTTCTTCAAACGTAGTCGTTCTGTTTGTTACATACGAAGTCTTGTCGGCTGAGCAGAGTATTGGCATTTGTCACATATATATATATATATATATATATATATATATATATATATATATATATATATATATATATATATATATATATATATATATATATATATATATATATATATATATATATATATACGACGCGATTATTGTTTTAATGGCACCTTCAAGGCTACCCCTATTGCAGAACAACTGAACAATCTGCTGATGAGGAGACAAAATCTATGTTGACATTTTTGTCAGCTTTAGATGACCATTCATTTGTAATGATTAGGGACTGGTAGAAATAAATTCTGAGCAGGTGAATATATGAATGTGCTAGCCGGTATTATATTACATACAATGCTAACCAATGGACATATCTCAGATACTAAAAGTACATTTTGTCTCCTTGTATAAATATAAAGACGATCAGTGGGTTATTAGAACTGCAAATTCATGAAATCATATTGGTTTCAATACCTCTATATCGAACACTAAACAGCAAATTTAAATACAAATGCCTTCATGTATATCACCGGAAAGAAAGAAGTAAAGCTATCCTCCATGAATTATTCAAAATATTGTCGATCCTTTGCATCGTATTAAACTGTATTTAGTCCTGACAAGAATCATGCGAGCGCAATACAAAATAAGTAAAATCGAATCAAAATCGAATAAAAACAAAGAGTCGGCGAATGCTCGAGCTGACGAGAATTTCCGAAAAATCTTGACATCCGACGGACTGACATGGATTGAGTATGTTTCCCCAATATAACTCGGCCGGGGACTGGGCACGAAAAAGCAAGAACGTCATGTAACGTCAAGAATAG